GATGGGAGACGCCGGGGAGAGGGGAAAGCTGTGAGCGGAGGGCTTGCAGGTGGAGGGGGATGCCTGAAGGAAGGGGTTTTTGTCTAATGGGTTAGAGGCGAGCAGGAGCAGTGTTACATCCCTGATTCTCCTCTCCTCCCCTTCCCTGGAAGGATTTGGGGTGGCCCTGATAGAGCAATGTCCTTTCACCTCTGTCTTTCCCCTTCCTCCAGAGGGTGAGAGGCAGCTTCCCATGGGCATTCTCTTGGGCCCTCTCCCCTCCTTTTTCCTTCCTAGTACACTCTTGCCCAACAGTACAAATATGATCTGTTTCTCACCCACTGCTACCATGATATGTGAGATTAATGAAATGCCTTCATCTTTCTTTTCCCAGCCTGCGCTGGGATGGGGCTGTCAGAGGCTGGGGGTGTGTAACTTGTGTGCCAAAGGGGCCACAGAAAGTCAGGGGCCTCTGGGTACCTTGGTTTCCAGTTGGCAGAGTGGGAATAATAGCTGTGCCCTCCTGCAAGGATTTGCATGGGGATCAAAGTTCGTGAGGCGGTCTGATCTGGCGGTAACAATGACTATTTGAGGATTTGAGATTGTTATTGAGGGGCCTGCAGGTCTTACAGTAACTTGTGTGCCAAAGGGGACACAGAAAGTCAGGGGCCTCTGGGTACCTTGGTTTCCAGTTGGCAGAGTGGGAATAATAGCTGTGCCCTCCTGCAAGGATTTGCATGGGGATCAAAGTTCGTGAGGCGGTCTGATCTGGCGGTAACAATGACTATTTGAGGATTTGAGATTGTTATTGAGGGGCCTGCAGGTCTTACATCAGTGAATTAACCTCCTGCCAAGTCCAGAGTGCTCGTATCTTAAAATGCAGTTTATGTGTGGAATGGGAGAGTGCCCTGTTGCTAGAGTCCCTCTCTCCAAGAGCTTTGACTTCTTTCTGATTTTATTAACTTTTAATTTTATTTTTAATTTCCTGGTACAGCAAGTGAAATGCTGAATCGTTTCTCACCCACTGTTTATTGAGGTTTGTGGAAACTGAGTTTGTTTTCCTCTTCTGTCCCCAGAGGCCTTAGTTTTTAATGACCCTGACTTCCAGCATGAGGATTTGAACTTCCTGTCCCGTAGCCAACGCTATGAGCAAGCCATCAGGAAGAGCTCTCTGATGGTGATGAAGCTAAGAGAATATGGAATTGCAGATCCGGAGGAGATCTACTGGTTTAAAAGGTACCTAGCTGTAGACTTTGCTTCTTGTATGTACTTTGGTCATCACCAAGGACATCAGAGTGGTGCTTTTTTCCTGTTTGCTGTCCAAAGGAAGCTAAAGACCTGTATGAAAGCCCACTGAAGTCTTGGCTTCAGTGAATTTCAGATGAAACCCTGATTTCCTGAATATTGTGTTTTCTTAGACTTTTTTGACTAGAAATTAAAAAATGGGACTTGTAGTCTGATTTCACACACCCACCCCCCCAACCCCCCGGAATAAAAACTACACTGAAATATTTTGAATCTGAATAGATCTGATGAATTTGCAGCTTCTAATGAAATCTCTTAAAGCTGATTATTTCACTTTGCACTTAGACCTAATAAAGTTGTGTTACAAGCATACTTGAAAATGTTCCAAGATAGCTTACAAGTTCTTGTTTATAACTATCTGTCCTGTCTCCCTCCTCCAAGCTCCTGGGGCTACAGTGGTTCCCTTTGACCTAGAGGCTTTTTGTTGTGTCTGACCTTTTGTTTATCTGGTAGCATTACCCTTGAATTAAGTTAATAAAAATAAAACTGTCTTTACATCTGAGTTTCATTCCTTCCAGCTTGCAGGGAGCTTAGTTCCTGACTTTGATGTATTTCTCCCCTTAGTTCTGTTAAACTCATTCTGATATAATCAAATGGAAACTGCTTAACATAGAGACTGTGCAGCTCTAGAAATCTGGATGTAATACCATGAATATATCCTCTGGCACATTAAATGAACATTGCATGTTAAATAATGCACTGGTAGAATCAAAAGCCCCCTCTGACTGGATCTGTAGAAAAGCTGTCACTGGCCTCAGGGCATGAATATTGGGACTAGTTAGTTGAAATTACCTTGTCTGCTGTAGTTTTAATTTCAGAGAAATTGGTCTACACTGACCTGTGTCATGAAAGTTCTCATGGAAGTAATGTAAATGTTCTTTTGAAAATTGGCATCGGTGGACAGTGATAACAAGAAAAAAGTTCGGTGTCTGTGTTAGATTATTCACGTACTGCATGGCAAAAGTTAATCATTAATTTTTCCTACGCAAGGATTATTTGAGGTGATAGGGAATTTTCTTCAGTTATTTTTATGGAGAAAATTCAGAGAAGTCTATCTGGTATACCAGCTGGCAAACATCAGCGAAGTTTGCAATGTAAATGCTGTCTTCTGGTAGTATTACTGACAATCTCTTGTGAAAACAGCACTTTTCTGAAGTAGTCAAATGATAGATTCTAGTTTTGTCTTCCCATAAACTTATTTGGGAGTCAGCAATTCTTAACTTTAAATGGATGAAAGTTTAGTATTTCATATAGGTGCCAAATAATACATCCATATCTTATGTGATACGAATAGTCAGGTGTGACTAGTCAGAATTCGTGATCCAAAATCAACTGAAACAATGAGGAAGGCTTAATTTTTTTCAGAGTCAATTCTAATTGCAGACATTCAGGACTTGAAAAGATAATTGCAATTACTGTAGACTGACTGTATTTTCCAGTGTCTTATGTGATAAGGTGTAGAAGAATGAAGAGCAGTACATATAGTTCTTACCTACAAGTGAAGTTTGTTTGCTCTAAGAACTGCATACTGTTAATATTCTTGATTTGAATTCTTTACTATAATGTCTGGTGTTTGCAAGGCAGGATATTGGCTTACTGCTTCTTAATAAATGGAAGAAATGGAAGGATTATTTTTTCATCCTCTGATTTCATTTGCTGTCCCCACTTTCTCACCTGCTGAGTGTCAAACACTTTTTAAACTTAGTGAACTCCACCCAACTTGCAAACTTAAGTTTATTTCTATCATGTATCCAAACAGGCTGATTGGTGCTAACTAGAAGGGACTTCATTTGTGTAAAAGCTGACCTGGAGAAACTATGTTTGGGTTTATTCTTCTTTCCAAACTGGAAAATTGAATGGATATGGCGTTGTGACATGCCTTCAATTAAGTTTATGAAATAGATTGAAGTCCTTGATTCAGATGTTAAGTTGTATTTATTGTGATTGACTATCAGATTTTTACATATGGAAGCTTAAGGTATTTTGTCAATAATCCCTCATGCCTTGTGATTATCCCCAAACAGCAGGGACAGATTTATTTACATATGCAATTTTTGAGAATTTTGAGCTAGCTGTTTTCCTGTAGCTTTTGTATACTACCAGAACTTCACTAGGTAGCCTTGTATCATCACTGACCAACTTTGTAGTTTGATTTATGAGTAGGTGAGGAGAAATGCTTCTTCCCTCAGTTGCCCTGGAGATACGCTTAAACAGTTGTTGCTGCTGTGATGTGTCGAACTGAATGGTCCTCCTTCCTGTTTCCACAAGGGCTTTGTTGGACTCCAAAACATAAGAGAATCTGTTAAATATATTTAGAAGCCATTTTAATTACATGTCATCTAGTCAATTCTTCCTGTGTTTTAACGTGTGTCAGCACTGTAGTTAGTGCTATGACCACAGATTAAGAAGGCTGGCAGCCTTAAAGTGTCAATATTTAAGATTTTTTTTTTTACAGTCTTAACAGCAGCAAAATGTAAGTCAGCATGAAAAATGGGAAATTGTTCCAATGTGTAATGGGTACACAGCCCTTTGAAGAGAGCAATCTGGTCAGTTTTAATTCACCTCCAAATTTAAATAACCTTCATCAAGGAAAATAGGGTTAAATGAAGAAGTGAGAAACAGTTGGGAGAAACTGGGGCACAGAAGAAGAGATCTGAGAACTGCAAGTCAACAGATGATTCTTGTGTTCATAAGCATTGCATGAATGTGTGCTTTCCCTGCGAGAATTTGTCCCTACTTCTCATTTTGACAGTAAATTTAGGACCTGGAGTAGCTTTCAGCAAATCAAACCAGAAAAACTGTAGCAGGGGCCCTACAAGCCACTGTTAATTTAATTTGGAGTGGATGAGTCTGACTCAGGTTTTTTGATACAGCTAGAAAAGGAGTTTATTACCACAGCATTTGTTAACTCTGAAGCCCAGTGAGCACAGGTCAGACATCCCCCTGGCTGCTTCTTCACTGAGGCGATCCTTCATGCTCTTCCTCAAGAGAGTTATCTCAAGAACCGCAAAAAGCTAGAAAAGTTTGCTCGTGGATTTTGCTTTAAAGTAAATGACCCTATCCTGTGACCCAGTTCTGCAGCCTGAGAATGTCTGTTCACTGGAGGATAGGCTATCAAAACTCATCTGTCAAATACAGGTGCCTTTTTACTATGTGGGTGACATTGGTTGCAGCGAAATCTGGAAAGATCTATATTGCCAAAATAGCGTATTACTACACATCCTTCTCCCGTGAGTGGATTTGGAACTGCAGCCTTCCTCTTGCCTCGCTGATTGTCGTAGCAAATCTAACTTCAGACTAGCAAGGTGATCTTTGGTCACTGATCAAATTGCTAGTGCTAGATGCAGCTAGCTGTATTCAGTCTCAGCGTAGCAAAGTACTTGAACAGTACACAATGCAGCCTTGGGAGAACAAACTGTGTAGGTAGTGGGAAATGCCAAGTGGGAACATGGAAATTGGGAGCGGAAGGAGTAAGAGTTCAGAGAAAGAAAAAGAAGGAAAGAAAACCTGTTCTTCCTCGCTTCACAGCTAAGTACATCTTCTGTTTGTCCTGTGTCACGAGGAAAATTGGGTTCTCTCTCCTTGTCATTCAGGTTGTTAAAAGGCACATTAAGAAAATCCTAATCATTCAGTGTGGATTATGCAGAGATGAAAAGTTTCTGCTGTAAATGAGCTAGCTTTCAGTTCTGCTTTCAGCTTTGTTAATGCAAGAAGCTGTTAAAATGCTGCATGTTTAGTCAGTGAAATAGCATGACCTTCTGACACAGGGATGTTATAAAGTATCTGCTTGCAAAATGTCATTCTTCTTACTCCTATCAGAGAAGGTGCTAGTTAAGCATGAAGTATCTGGCACTTGCAATTAAACTTAGTGATAGGCAGTGAAAGTTGCTGGTGTGACCTTTAAGATTTTTCTTCTGGAGCATTACCTTCAAAGAAGTAGTGTCTGACCTGATTTTTCTGACAGCAAAACGTGCTTTTTTTACAAGTTCTTTCAGTGGCTCCTGAAAACGTGCAAAGAACTGTTCAATCTCTTCCCAAGCTGCACTGACATAGCATATTTCAAAGTCAGCACTCATTTTCTCCCTGTACGTTTGTCCTTTTGGGCCCAAGGGCTAGATACACAGTAATTGTGTTGTAGACAGTAAGGAAGTAAAGGATGCTGCTATTGCTATATGGGTCCTGGAGTAAAAGACAAATCCACGTAGGAAACTACAAGAATGCTGAAAAATATTCAGTCTCCCTGTCCTTCTAGCATTTTTAAGCCCTTGGTCACCCTGATAACTTCTGTTTTGTAAATATGTGCTGCTGTAGGCAATAGAATATTTTCTGGTAGGAGAACTAGCTGCCTTGATCCCAAGAGCTCTAGACACTGTACCTACACTCACACCAGCTTAAAGCATGGTTAATACATTAATCACCAGTATTAGATTACTTGATGACAATAATTTTGCTTCTGGAAGAATCCATGGCTCATTCAATCTTGTCCATTTAAAAAATGTTCCATTTAAAATAAGCATCTTCAACATGCAGTTCAGTGGTGCTGAAGAAGCTTTGTCCTGCTTTCTCTTACCCTGAGGCTGATTTTCAGAGCTTGCATAGGGATCTTGTTTTGAATTATCAATTATTTACTCTCTGCTTCCAGGCACCGTATAAAATGCCAATCAGAAATGCTGCTGTAATTTGAAAAACTATATGCATAGCATCCACTATGCAGTGCGGATCTGTGTTGGCAACAAACTTAAATGTGCTCCCTGGGCAGGTATTAATACCTTGAGATGGAAGGATATCTCTTCCTTGTAGATATCTTGGGCAAGTGGGAGAGATCTTGTATGTAGGTGTTCATGCAGAGCGCTCATTTGTTCCTCCATCTTTGAATTTGTGTGGAATAAGCATTCGTGTACAATAGAAGATGAAAGAACTGTTCAGACTGCAGAATGTTGAAGGGAAGATGCTGTCATTTACTACATAGCTTTTACACAGTGAAACTTCCTGGCACGTTTGTGGTATGGAGCTTGTTTTAGCTGGGAATGTACTTTGCCTGCCATTGTGTCTACTAAATTAATAGAGCTGTCTCTCATGAAATAACTTCTGTTTTGATGAAGCACATCTCAAATATCTGATTTTCCTTCCATTCCTCCAGCACTAGCCTGTAACAGTAATTTTAATTGAAGGCGAGTTCCTGATCTCGCAGCTGATAGAAGCAGCTACAGGTAATATGGAGCTCTTCTGAAAAACACTTGGTCACCTAAGAAGCCTTTTCCTTTTCAATACATAGTGCTTCTAGCTAATATGGCCTAGTTCTAGGCTACTAGCAGTGGTGAGATTTATTCTCCCCAAGCCTGAGAGGTGGGGAGAAAATAATTTGGTTCTCATGTCCTCAGTTTTAAGTTACCCATGCATCTTTGTAGAACAGTATTTTTTCCAGTTATATAGCAACAGCAGGATTCATAGGATGAATTAAATGTCTGAAAGAAATATTTATTTTCCCATTAGCATTGCCTGTGATGCCTCCATATTTGGAGGTTGCTTGTGGGGCAAAAAAAGATTGAAGTAGGCAAAGAGATTCTTTATCTTGTGATAGAGTTGGAGAAAAGCCTTTCAGTATCACAGTAACAGTAAGACTGAGATCCAGATCCCTCTATTTCTCTCCTGTAGAACATGCTTGGGCAGTTTTCCTGAACCTTTCGGTCTCCACTTCAGCATGTTTCAAAAAACCTTAGAGACCCAAACGACTGATGCTCAGAAGGAGAAATGGCTGCCTCTGGTCCATGGAGTCAAGATAATTGGCACCTATGCCCAAACCGAAATGGGACATGGTTAGTTCCCTTCAGGGATCAATGGGTAACCTCTTTTTTTGTAATTCCAGTTTGTAAATTGATGATGCTCCCTAGGTAAATCTAAAAGGAGAAAGGTAAAATAGTTTGCTTAACAGTTGACGTTCCCTGCCCTATAGCCAGACAGCTGCTTCATTTCACATCCTAACAATCACAGGGTTAGTTTTGGTCTTTTCCAGAATGCACCTCTTAGCTGATCACTGACTTTGTAGTTGTTTAGCTTTGTTTTAAGATGAGGAGGTTGTTCTAAGCCTTCGGAGTCTGAATTTCATTTGAACTGGTTGGAACACGTCTGTCAACAGTACTGTGGTTTTTATTTTTGCCTGAATTTGAGGTATGTTTGTCTCGGTTCTTAGTTCATGATCAGCCTGTGTAAACAGGTCAGAAGTATACTTTTAGATGCAATGTAGCAGGGTGAGATTGCACAGTTTTGTTTTTGAAAGTAAGGTATGCGTTGCCCCAAGCACTTTTCTTTCAGATGCTACTCCATTGCAGCTGTACAACTTCATGGAAAGATCTTGCTTTCAAAGAAAAAAACCATCTTATTCCTACTATTGTTGAAAACAACTTTTGCTGCTTCAAATGGAAGAACATTCAATGGATCAGAAAAAGAGTCTTTTAGTCCCGAACCTGGAATTATGGCTGATAAATACCAGCAAGAATAGTTTAACAAACCAAGGACTCCAGTGCTTGTGCTGGCATCTAAACTTGGAAAGCATGATATGTACAAGTCTGGACAATTACAAAAGTTAGATGGTAATGCCAGTTGCCTGGCTGTTCAGTTTCAGCTACTCATAGTAGCTGAAATGTTTGTAGAAGATGCCACGGAGGAAATCCTGTCATCTGTTCTGCTTGGGAGAGATGGAGTGAGCAAACCTAGCTCGATACCAGAAGCTGAGAGACAACTGGATGGCAACAATAAATGCCTGCTGACCTTGTTTGCTTTTTCACACCAACTTCTTTAAATCAGACACACATCCACACCGAAGTGATTTGTTTTACTTGCTATTTCACATTAGATCATTGCACTTTCTTGCCTGGTGATGGTCTGGTTTGCTTATAGTTGTTGCGTTGTTTGGTAAAATTAGTATTTTGACACTTAATAGAACTAATAATGGTGATAGTATGGCAAAGTAAATGTACTTTCCATGCTGAATAATTAAAATGCAACTGTTTGGCATTTCTGCTGTGAATGTTGAGTATCTAACTACTTCATCAGTAAAGCTTCTATAGTAATTGTCACTGAGCTCTGCTTAATTTAATCCTGATGTTTAGAAAGTGGTGATGGGGAAACAGACCTCTGGATTTTTTAATTGAATCCTAGCCTGGATGGGTAGTTACTCAGTTTTACCTTAGTGAGTACCTACTTGATAGCCTGTGTTGATTTTAACCTATTCCATAGTGAGTAAGTCTCTCAAAAAATAAAAGACAAAACACAATTAGCACAGGGCTGAAAAACAAACAAAAAGGAGTAATGAAAATACTGTACTGTTTCTATCTGGTTTATAGCTATTGCTAGTAAATAAGGGCTTTCTTTCAGTCTTTTGACTGTCAGCTGTGTACTTCTCACCAGTACTGAACTCACTTAAAATCTAGTATTGCTGCTAACCCATTAGCCCCCTGTTGAGCTTGGTCACCGTTCAGTCAAAAAGCTTAGAAAATGTTGCTACTGGGTTTATTAGATGGTTGAATTTACTTGTAGGTGCCTGAGAATATCAAAGAAAAGAACTACAGTTCTTAGGAAGTTCTAGGGATAGAACTAGTTCATATTAATCTGTGTTTAGAGGTAACACAAGAATGCATTCTTCCCACTTTGATAAGAATGCCAGCTGAGTTTGAGCTAAGCTCAGATCAGTGCTCTTTCCATAATGCATATCTCATTTAAATATATACATTCTTGTTAAAGACCAGTTACATTATTTCATACATAAATGTGCCAGATGGACCTTGGTACAGAAGGTGCTGATCATCAATCTATATCCCCACTATTTTAATACTCAAAGCTATCAATATTTAAAGATTTAACAAGCATTTAATTCTTTGTATTGAAAAACTTAACAGACCACTTAACTACCTAACAGTGGTGTTTGACAGAACTTGGAGGAAGAGTAGTTCTAATGAAACTTGTTTAATTGGAGAGACTTTGTGCTGGTGATTTACAGATTGAAAAATGTTGGCTTTCTTGCCAAGTTGTTTATGTTCACAACTTTGACTTACACATGCAGAGCACTGTCCTTTTAAGAGAGCTTTTAAAACCAGCAAAAGTTGAAGGGAATTTAGTTGGAACGTAATATACACTAGTTGTGTCTGATCTTTAATTCAAAAAATAGTGAAGTAGATAGTACAGACAGTTAGGACTTCCTTTTTTTAAAAAGAAAGTTCGGTGAAAACCTAGCACATTCAGCTGGATAAACTGGGACTTCTACCAGGTTCTACCCTCAAACCATGGGGGAAAAAAAAGTGGACTTCATATCTTTGGGTGAAGGCTTGCTTCATCCAGCCAGATCACATCTTCAACAAACTGACATTCTGACTCAGCCCGTTTAACTTAGGGATGCTCTGGTTTCCAAACCATAGTGAAGGTCTGGTCTTTCTTTTGGTTTGGATTAATCCTTTTTTTAATCAGTCATGGCGCCTCAAAAATACAGGAATGTTGCAAATGCATTTTTTGTATGACTAGAAGGAAATGCATTGCAGCATGTTTATTTCAGAGTAAATGTAATTTCTTATTATTCAGGCCTGAAAAAGGACAGTGCTCTGGCTATCTAAAATACACTTGCTGAATTCTGATTTACACATGAATAATTTTTTTTTCTTTTTGTCTCTTCCTGAATCTCCACCATGAATCCCTCATGCTTGCTTCCCTCTCATAACATTCTCTTCACGCTCCCATCCCATGACACTTCTTCACAGCTTTGTTCATCGTGGACGGCCTGAGCCTCTGGACCTTCATCTGGGCATGTTCCTCCCCACCCTTCTCACCCAGGCAACCCCAGAGCAGCAGGATCGCTTCTTCATGCCTGCCTGGAACCTGGAGATCATTGGCACTTATGCCCAGACTGAGATGGGCCATGGTACAGTACATTCACTAAATGCTATTTCTGAGAATGGCTTTGTGTACAAAGGATTCCCCTGCCTGGGAAAAATGGTGTGTGTTTACCCCGCAGTCTTTATGCATGCAGTTGTGGCTATAGGGAAAAGTGGACTTTCTCTGAAATTTTTAATAGATCATTATGCCGCATGCTGCTTGCCCTTTTTTTTTTTCTCCTGTGGGAGAGTTTGATGTCTGTAGTTCTACATATGAGCATACTGAGTGCTCCTCTTGTGCCATTCAAACCAGTATAGATTATTGCATATGGCTATGGTGATGTCAATTTGATGACATCTCTTTATTTCTACACCTACCATTCTTTCCAGTGTGATTTCTGCTTTGCTCTACTTCTACTTTGTTCAGTGTGAAGACAAAAGGACAGACCTCTAAGGTACTGAAAGAGATGCCAAAAAAAGCAAGAGTTGCTTCTCACCTTAGGATTGACCTTGGATCAGAGAACATGTGGATGACTTGGTTCCTATGTTCATGTTTTGTGGGGAGTTTTATTCCCCTAGTTCTTTAGTTCACTCCCATGTGGTCTTTTTAATTGGACCATGAAATGTTGGGTTTTTCTTTTTAATTCTCTGTCTCAAGTAGACTTTGTTCTTTGTTGCTATTCCTTTGCTTTCAAGCTTTGAAATGGATTTTGATAACTCCAGCAGTATTGTCATTGCAATACTTCTAATCCAAGTTTCAAAGGGAGGATATTATGCCTTGGGAAACTTTAATTTTAACATCTGAGAGTTGCAGATGAGAATTATTTTCTAAAAATGAGCAGGATTCACCTTTGTGCTCAAGTGAAATGTAGAGACTGTATGAAGCATAAAGTAACTGCAAGTCTGCGGAGAATCTCTTGCAGCTAGTGTGGTTTGAAGATCCTTTACCAACAAAGTAAGTCTGTGTTAAGCTGCCTGTGGAAGTCTACCACTAACTCCATGCTTTGGAAATGTGGTTGCATCAAGGTGATATCCTTTTTCATGTTGAAGCTCTTGTGTAGAGTCACTGGCTCTGTCTTTCTCTGTCAGTCCAGACTGTGAGGAGTGTTCACAGCTTGCCTAGTTTAAGCAAGTAGGCCTGGTGATTTTTTGGTTTTTTTTTTAAAACGCATGCAGGGATGATACCACTGCTGAGGCAGATGTGTCTGTGAAGTAAAGAGTTGGGGGCAGAAGACAAAGACTGTTCCTGGAATTGTTACCTTCATCTTTTTGAAGTCTCTTCATCTACCTGTATCAGTCAGTACCCTAGCATATGCATGCCATTACTTGCTGTCTTGGAGCTATGGGTGATCTCATTTGGGAGAAACTGCTCCATCAAGTGAGGACAACGTAGGCCTGATGAGGGAATGAAGAGATCATGGGCACTGGTTATTTCATCTTGTGGCCGAAAAATATATGATTTTTATTTTGTTATTTAATCAGATTGCAGTTTTAGTGAAATCCCTATGAGCATGTTTTTGTGGACCTTTTTAATTGAGAAAGGGCTTCTGGTGTGTAATAGCAAAAAGGTGTCAGATTGGAGGTGCTTGGAAAACTAGTCTTAGACCACTGGGAAAAATACCCAACATGTTTTCTGAGAATTGGCTTCAGGTCCCAGAATATGGTCTGACTCTCACTTGTTCTTCCTTAATTGGTTGATATTTAGTCCTTTATATAGCCTAAAAGCAAAGCTAAAATTTGTACGTTACTACTGGAGTTGAACTTTACATCGTCCAATTCTGTCCTTGTCTCTGGTTTGTGACTGACTTTCTGCCAAAACAATGTGTTTGCTTATTTTCAGGAACTCATCTTCGGGGTCTAGAAACTACAGCTACTTACGACCCTGCTACCCAGGAATTCATCCTCAACAGCCCCACTGTGACCTCCATTAAGTGGTGGCCAGGTGGACGTAAGTGCATCACTGTATGTCTAAATCTGGAAGATGTATGGAAAAACTTAGGGAGGTGATGTTATGTATGTTATATCTATGGAATGATGTTTGAAAGTTGATCCAAAGAGTTGGCTGAAAAGCATTTACTCTTGCACAACAAGTAACAGACTTATCAGAGCCTGCTAAAACTTCAGATTATCTGTGTGCTCTGAATTGTTTCTCAGAATCACTCACACTGTATGGATTTGGTGTAATTTTTGATCAGTTGTATCAAAATCTTTATACTTCCTTCAGCTGCACTGGCAGGTTTGCCAAGGACCTGGTATTGTATAGTCAAGAGAATCATATTGTGCAATTTCCATTGACTTGAGCAACATTGTTTGTCTAGCTGTAGAATTCGAATGATAACCAGTGTGGTAAATCTGATTTTGTAACGCATGATGTGGTTAAGGTAACCTCAGATCCTGATTTAAGGAAAGAGACGCTGTGTATATAAGTGTGTTGACTGGTGTTTTTCCTTCTGACTCCCACTCCTTTTGCAGTTGGAAAGACGTCAAACCATGCCATTGTTCTGGCTCAGCTCTACACTCAGGGCCAGTGCAAAGGGCTGCATGCCTTCATTGTTCCCATACGGCAGCTGGGCACCCATGAACCTTTGCCAGGTAAAAATTAACGTTAAGGCTTTAGCAACTCATGGAATATGTTAATCTGTTTCTTTCCAGCTATATACAGCTGCATATGTCCTGTTAATGTACATGGCTTATTTCACTAGCTGATTTCAGTGAGTAGATGGTAGGTCACAGGGCTTAAAGGAGTCTTTCTTATGACTGAACTACCACTAAATCATCTTTCATGTCACACTTTCAGTCTGAAGGTTAGTTTGGGATTTGATTCTGTCCCAGTGTTTCCCAGCTATGCATTCTGTGAGGCAGCATGTCCTTCTACTTTCTGAAAGGGAAAGAATACCTTTCATCGTTCTCTAGCTAGAAGTGATCTTTAGAGACAGCTCCCCCAGTGACTGGATAGTAGGACTACATATAAATTATGAAGATCCACATGTTTTGATGTCCACTTTTCCATCAAAGAGATTAAGGTCCTCATTAGCTGTTATTCCTAATGATGCCAGGACTTGCTACAAAACTAAACAGACTCTTTATTGGAGAAGGCTTGAACATCTCACGTGGTATTTAGTTCCTATTTCTTAATGTAGGTGGCTTTGTCTGTGGCAGGTATTACAGTGGGTGACATTGGGCCAAAATTTGGTTATGATGAAATGGATAATGGCTACCTGAAAATGGACAACTTCAGAATTCCTCGGGAAAACATGCTGATGAAATATGCCCAGGTAAAGCAGTGAATTTCAGCATATGCTGTTAGAAATGGACACTTCAGATGCTCTTGTGTTGTTGAATAATGTACCAATAAGATTTTAGGTTGCTTGTAAGTGCTACTTGATGAGTTTAGACCTTGAGATGTGATCATGTAAAAGGGAGGAAATTTTAAAAAATAGGCTGGTGTTGTTTTTTCTTTTTTTGGTAGGTTGAACCAGATGGCACCTATGTGAAACCACTTAGTGACAAGCTAACCTATGGGACCATGGTGTTCATCCGATCTCTCATTGTAGGCGATGCAGCTCGCTCCCTGTCCCGGGCTTGTACCATTGCCATCCGCTATAGTGCAGTCAGACACCAGTCTGAGCTAAAGCCAGGGTAAGTGCAGTGAAATAAAAGAGCGGCCTAAGTGCTGAGGGAAAATTCCCAAATACTGGAGGGAAGAGGGACCATGGTTGATGTTGTTTGCTTTGGCACCTGATAGTTTCAAAACACCGTTTCATCCTGGGAAGTAAGTGATCTTTCATTCTTGACTACCAAAATGCCTTCCCCCTGCCAGAGGCTTTTGCTCTATGGTCTTAGAGAGTCTGGCTTGATACAGATGCAGCTTGTACTATCCAAGTGGAGAAGCTACTTAGAGTTGACTAGGACTTTATGGCAGTTTGCTAGCCACTGGCATACTAACTCATCTGTATTTTGTTCTAGGGAACCAGAACCCCAGATCTTGGATTATCAGACCCAACAATACAAACTCTTTCCTCTCCTGGCAACAGCATATGCTTTTCACTTTGTGGGAGCCTACATAAAAGACACTTATCGTCGTATTAATAGAGACATCAATGAAGGGGATCTGAGTGAGCTGCCAGAGGTACTGTGGCCTCTGTTGATTTTATGTAAGGTTTCTTTACGACATGGGAGAAAAGACATCAAGCCTTTTTGGCTTTCACTCAGGAGATGTCTTGTAACTCTTTAGATTCAGAGATCCCAAGCCCAGTATGTGCTGGTGACTTTTATTTCTTTATTTGCACTGTTCTTTTAGCAGCCCTTTACAAAAAAATAGGGAGTAATGCACAGGGAGAAAGCTACCATGAATATATGTTTTTTAAAAAGGTGACTTTCCAGGAATAATGGCATATCGCTTGGGAGTGGAGTTAAGACTGGTCTTATGCTTGTGCTGTAGCTTCTTGATTGTTCTTCCAAGTCACTAAGGTAGAACTGGTGTGTTGATCAAAGGTATCAGCACTATATTGAGGGGTTAAGGTTGTAAAATGTCAGTTTCCAGTTAAGGATTCTGTCTGAGAACCTAATGTGCCACAGGCAATTGAAAACAGTCTTGGACACAATGCGTAGAGACAGAAAGGATGGGGTACTCAAAAGAAATCTTTACATGTATAGAGGCTTTCATATAAATGGTTCCACTCAGGGAAGAGTCCTTACAAGAAAAACAAGACCCTGTGGGACACTGGAAGGATGGTGTTGACTCTGCTTTTTTCTGGGAGCTGCAGTACTTAGCATGTATGTGTGCAAGCTAAGAATGGAAAATAAAAAAATCTAAACTGCCTTTGCTTTTGTCCATCAGCTCCATGCACTGACAGCAGGGCTGAAGGCGTTCACTTCCTGGACTGCTAGTGCTGGTATTGAGGAATGTCGGATGGCATGTGGTGGGCATGGCTACTCTCGCTGCAGTGGTATTCCTGACATCTATGTCACATTCACCCCATCCTGCACCTATGAGGGAGAAAACACAGTCATGATGCTGCAGACAGCTAGGTATGGTAGCTTCTGTCCAGAGACATTCTTGCCTTGGCATTACGATCTTTGTAGCTGAAGTGATGAGCAGAAGAGTATCCTGTATTACTGTGAAACTGGTGTCTCATGTTTCTGTCCCTTGCCCTATTTTTGACAGAAAAGTATATGCCTGCAACTGTTCTTTGCTAGTCTGACCCTAGGTAACATGAATTCTCTCCATTCAAATGACTCACGAGTAAGAGTTGCTATTTGTTGTCTCTGTTTTCAGGTTCCTTGTGAAAAGCTACAACCAAGTTACTTCTGGGCAGCGGGTTACTGGCATGGTGTCCTACCTTAATGATCTCTCCAGCCAACGCATTCAGCCACAGCATGTGGCTGCTAGGACTGTGACTGTGATCAATGATCCAGTCAGCTTGGTAGAGGCCTACAAAGCACGTGCTGTCCGGTGAGCTCACACTTACTAGACTGAGTCAAGCATCAATAAAATTGCATGTCTTGGGAGATGATAGTGATGTGCTGCCCTGTTAATGTTAGATTCTCAAGATGTGGTTTGCAAAGCCTTGCTCCATGTGTTGCTTTCAGGAAGTGACACACTTTACTACATTGCATCAGTGTTAAGTGCTTTGGGGTTACAAGAGACTACATACAGCCTTTGCATAGCCTAGTTACTCTGCTCTGTTCCATTTTGAAATATCTTTTTCTTATTTAAATGTAAAGTATATTCAAGCATACAAATACCAGCATTGTTCAAACTGCTCAGAGATCTATCTGGAGAGAAAAAATCTTGATATTAAAGCCTGTTGTGAAGGAAGTGTGAGAGTAGAACAGATACCTACATGTGAGTAAGTATTCAAGCACCATATACATGCTGTCAAATGTCATCTTACCCCTCTGTAGCTGTGTTCTAGCTGCAGCAGTGGTGATAGGGGTTTTAGAGCCACAACTGCTCACTCCAGGCAATGTATTCAGTCGTGGCACATGACCTCTGTGTTCTTCTGATGTGTTAGACTGAAATTTGTATGAATTCAGTGTACATAATCTTGTTTGTATATGGTGCTGTTGCATAACCTTTTTTCCTTCCTTTTGTGAAATAGGCTTGTAGAAGCTGCAGCAAAGAATTTGCAAGCTGAACTGAACCACAGAAAGAGCAAGGAGGATGCCTGGAACAGAACTTCTGTCGATCTTGTGCGAGCATCTGAGGTCAGTGATGTGCCTGATAAAGAAATACGCTATAAGAGCTTCTCATCAATTCATTAACCTGATTCACCTTCCTTTCATTTCTTGTAGGCACACTGTCACTATGTGATAGTGAAACTTTTCACAGCAAAGCTGTCTGAGATCAGTAATGCAGCTGTTTGTGCTGTCATGACTGAGCTATGTCTCCTGTATGCACTGTATGGAATCAGTAAGAACACGGGGGATTTCTTGCAGGTTGGTGTCTTTCTCCAACTCGTTAAATCTCTAGAGACAGAGTCATTGTTTGCAAAGATGCTTTAAATGCAAAGTTGCATGAATGCTTAGGCATAAGGCCTTGCCTGTTGACTTCCAGAAGGCCATAGCAGTGCAGGTCTGATGGAAGGCTCTTGTCAAGTTTTCCTTGTGATCTGCCGGAAGCAGAGTTGGATGATAAATGGTAACATGGCATCTGTCTAGGTTAGCTTAAATGTTTTACAGATGGTGACCAGGTGTTTTATGTTAAAAACCAAGGAGTTAATAAAGGAAGTGTAAGTTAGACATGCTCTGAGAGCTGTATGCATTTGTAAATTAGTGCACAAAAGGGGAATATTGCACTCCAAATCTTAACTCCAAATCTTAAATTGTCAGGCATTACTTTTCTTCTCTTAATTCTTTCAGTTTGAGAATGTATTTGTGCAGCAGTGTTTTATTTTGTCTTCAGGCAGATGTGGTATGTTTTGTCTTCCCATTTTCCTCTTTGCTGCTTACCAAAAAGTTCCCTGAAACCAGGAAGAATTTAATACACACATGTGCACATTCCTCAAGAAAACTTGCTCCTTGTTGTGGTTTAGCCCCAGCCAGCAACTAAGCACCACGCAGCCACTCGCTCAGTCCCCCTGCCCTGGTGGGATGGGGGAGAGAATCAAAGGAGTAAGAGTGAGAAACACTCCTGGGTTGAGATAAGAACAGTTTAATAATTGAAATAAAGTAAAATAGTAATGATAATAATAATAATATACAAAGCAAGTGATGCACAATGCAATTGCTCACCACCCGCTGACCAATACCCAGACAGTTCCCAAGCAGCGACTGCTCCCCGGCCAACCCCCCCCGTTTCTATACTGAGCATGATGTCATATGGTATGGAATAGCCCTTTGGTCAGTTTGGATCAACTATTCTGGCTGTGCCCCCTCCCAGTTTCTTGTGCACCTGGCGGAGCATGGGAAGCTTGAAAAGTCCTTGACTAGCATAAGCAGTACTCAGCAACAACTAAAACATCAGCGTGTTATCAGCATTCTTCTACTAAATCCACAACACAGCACTATGCCTGCTACTAGGAAGAAAATTAACTCTATCCCAGCTGAAACCAGGACACTACTGAAGTTAATATACAGGCATTCTAAAGAATGAGTCTTCCATCAAAGATTAAATAGCTAGGCATCTCCTTTTGCTTGTACACTATGGCAAATTGCCAATTTGATTACTTAGCATTTAGGGAAAAAAAAAAAACCCTAGTGTTTTATGAACTGCTGCATTTTTGTATTGGGGAAGGCTGACCTATGTTAGACCATAGGGGAAGGGAAGGTTCTTGCAACTGGCATACTCTTCTGATAATCTCTTTTTTCCCAAGGCGGGTATCCTGACTGATGCCCAAATTACTCAGGTGAACCAGCGTGTGAAAGAGCTCTTAGCTATAATTCGTCCCAACGCAGTAGCGCTGGTAGACTCCTTTGACTTTCACGATGTTCATCTTGGATCTGTGCTTGGCCGGTATGATGGCAATGTCTACGAGAACATGTTTGAGTGGGCAAAGAAATCCCCACTGAATAAAACAGAGGTAAAGAAATTTTATTTCTTCATCTTTAGGTCATGTGTCCAGAGAAATAACCCAATTTAGGGTTTTTTAATTTTGATCCAGTGATCTCAGCACACAATTGATGAATTGGGGAGAAAAGTCACTAGTGGTAATGGACCAAAACTAGCAACCTACCTCTTGCTCCTCTGCTTTCAGCATACTTGCTTCAGTTACTCTTATGTGTACCTCACATGCATCCCTGTGAGATACTTTTGAGTTTCTCAGTTGAGAGAGGAAATCATACTCTCCCTAGAGAAACAACTGAATTTTAAAGAAATTATTGCTTGTTGTTAATTCTGCTTAGTGACAGTAGCTGTGAAAGCTTTACCTGTTTTCTGGTAAATCTTTCAGTGCCTTCAGGCAGTAGTAGTGACTGAAGAAGAAATTAAATTGCTCTCATGTAGTACTTAAGTGTCAGGTGTTGCATATCTGTCCTGAGGCTGTAGCTACAGTTGAGCTAATAAAAGAAACTGAGCTGAGAAGAGTCAGTGTCCCTCTTCCATCAGCCAAAACAGAAGTCTAAATCCTGTCTTGGTGGCCTTTACTGTCTTTATTTGATTTGGGCAGACTATCTCCTACAATGGGCTGCCAGAGACTGCGATTGTAATTAAGTCCCACCAGAACGTGCTCAATTTCTGTGCTTCTGAAGTCTGTAGGGGGCTTAGGAGCTTCATTACAGTCCCCTTAGGAGACCTTTACTGGTATTCTTTGAATTAAAATGCCAAAGAATTGTCCGTATGGATATAAGATGCCTTGCATTCTTTTTTTCTTACAAGAAGGGTAGTGGGGAAGCTATTTTGTTTTGGCTTATATTCTCATCCTTTGTGTCACATAGACGCTCAAATACAGGACTTAGCTGTCTGTTCTTAAATCCCCAAAGTGCCTCTGATTCAAATTTCCTTAGTGTAAAATCACACTGCAAGATATGAAGAGCTAAAACTGTTTTAAAGCTCAGGCCTGACCTTGTTGTAACCACTGTCTTGTCCTCTTACAGGTTCATGAGTCTTTCCACAAACACCTGAAGTCAATGCAAGCCAAGCTGTGAAGCCTGCCGTTTTTTTAAAATGCACACTTTTCCTGATGTGAAAACTGGGTGTTTGCATCCTTTCTTCAGGCACCTAAATCAAACCTTTCAAATCCTGGTAGCTGTAGGACAGTGAATAATTGTAGCCTTTCTTTCCACTTTTATAAATTGAGGAGGTGTTTGGGGAGAGTGCATAGGGATTGATGCCTGTTTCTAAAGTGCAATTATAATGGTAAAATTAACCTTTTAAAAATCTGGGAAAGCTTTATGGATTCATACAAGGATTGCTTTTGTGAAGCTGCTAACTAGAGAGAAGTTACTGTCAACTGGAAAGGTAGCAGGATTTTACTACTAAGTAGTTAACAGCCCTCAGGCAATAGCTTCTAATTAGCAGTTATGTCCTCCCCCCAAAAAGCATCAATGTCTTGATTTTTTTCTCTTTTTTTCTTTTTTTTAAGATTAGCACCACCTCTCTCCTTGTTTAGCAAATATTTATGCTATCTGAAGCCTCCTGCATAATTTTGTGCACATGAATCTTCATGTGGCACTGCTTCCTGATGTAGCTGGGAGGTAAATACCCATCCTTCTCTGGAGCTCTGCTTCATTCATCTTTCCAGAAGACATCTTCATGTTTTCCAGTACATCCTTCTTTCACTGCCCTGCAGAAACTTGTTTTGCCTGTGTGCCATCTCCAACACTGGCACCTTACTCTTTATTAATAGGAAGTCAAAGGAGAATATAGTGATGCTGTTCTGAGGAAAAAATGAGTAGTAATAATCAGCTAGATGCTGATAATAGATGTTCTGCCCTTCTTTTAATTGTTAGTATTTTCATAGCACTATCTTAAAGCACTTTACAAATGTTAATTATGGTGATTTGATGTGAAAAACCACATGTAGTGGTAGAAACTGCAAATTTGACCTGGAATGATGAAGCCAGTATTTGAGGGCAGAAATCAGTTGACCAAGGCCCTTGGGTCTTCAGATTGTTCTGGGATGTTCTTCTGGTTTTTAAAGGCATTCGTCAAGAAAACGACAATCCCAAGTGAAGTGTCTAGATTTTTTTTTTTTTCCCCTACCCATGCATTTCCAAGGAGCTTTCTCTGATTTGCTTAATTTTGTTTTTATATTGACTTGGGACTTGCACAGTGCTGCTGAATTAACAGATGAAAGATTTAGCTTTTAACAGAACCTCCTGATGCCCAGTGAAATCAGTACAGCTACAACTAAACAAAAATAATTTCTGTTTTTCAACACCAATAACTCTGTCCAGTAACAATAAAACCTCTCTCCACGACAGATAAGAGCAACTTTGAGCTTAAAATAGTAAAAAGCTTCAGCATAAACCCAAATCCTGGAGCTTCAAGGTACCATCTTGAGAAGCTGTTTTCTCTGACAGCTTTGGTATCTGTTAAAATCTCTAATTTCAGATCAGTTTTCATGGAGGAGTTTTTTCCTGGCACTAACAATGATCAGACACAATGTTTGGCTCCACATGCAGCAGCTGAACAAAAAGAAATGTTTGATTTTAAATAAAATAATCAAACTTGCCTTTTGGCTGCTGAGTCTTTCAGGTCGAATGGAACCACTGCTGTTCAGGCTATGAAAGGAGGCAAAGGGCTTTGCCTTCTGTTTGTTTGATAGAGCAGACTGCTGACCTGGGGAGGGATGATGGAGGAGTAGGTTAAAAATACATTAATGAGAACAGTACTAGCTAACTGTATGTACAGATTTAATAAATTACAAAAATGTGTTTTCAGACAAAATGTCTGTCTTTCATGCATTGCCTTCAGTGGATCTCATTTAATGGGTGAAGTAGAATGAAGTATTCGAAAGACCTTTAAATTAGTTGGATTTTATTTGTCTTATTTCTAGTCTGACATTTCTGGCTTTGTTCTGCAGCGTTCTAGGGCAGCCAGCCCAGTCCGCCAGCTGTCCTTGCCTCTGCTGCTGCTCACAACCACAGGAAAAATAAACCTGGCAGAGAGCAAAGCTGTCTTGTGGCACATTGCTTGGTATTACTATGGCTCATAGGCCAGCAAAAGCTGATCCCTGCCAACAGCAAAGATTTAACAGTAGTGTTTGTCAGCAGAAGCTTTAATTCATAGAAGCTATTTCTTTAAAATTGTTTCTCCCTGGGTTTTTTGAGCAATAGTGATATAATTTCAGGGAGGAAATTAGAAAGGCAAAAGCCCAGCTAGAACT